CATCCGAAGGGGTTAAATCAATCAGCCAACCACGCACTAGGGCACTGGCGTGGCCTCAGGTCTGTCCCCAGGCAGTCTTGCTCATATTGATTCCCAGAATATTTGTTGTCCAGGCCTCTAGGCTTGTTCAGCCATCTTTTGGCGGCTCTTCTTCCTCTCCAGCAGCTCACGGCTTGATAAGAAGACGTTGCACCAGAGTGCAACGCCTATATAACATGTGCAACTCCACGCCGCTTCCAAACCATGTGTGACGCCAGCAGCCTGGTTTGGGAGAGGCACAAGGCAAGGGCAGGACTGCCGCATGGGGACAGCTGCGAAATAAGACCATATCCAGCTGCCACAGTTTGGATCCAGTTTGGTCTTGTGGAAACTCAGCTCAGTTCTGCCTGGGGCGCTGGGGTGATCTTGTCCCGCGCTGGAAAGGCCGTACCGAACGGTACGGCAGCCGTATCTCAGTCCAGCCTGGCTGCCAACGGTCCTCAGTGTGCCGCCCCAGGGCTGGGGAGCAGCTTGCTGCTGCTTTGTTAAATAAGGGGAGCTGCAAACTCGCATCAGCCTTTCCATCGGAAGGGCAGGACTAATGGGATAAAGCCATATGGAAGTGTCTTCTGGAAAGGATGATGCAGAAGGCTGCCTGGGATGGGGAAGAGGTGGCGATGGTGCAGGGGAGCAGAGCGGTCTGGGATCCTTACCTCTCCTTCGTGGCTGATAAGCTGTAATTTTGCCATACACAGTGGCCCCTCCTGAATTAATATACCTCAGGATGACATGGAACAGATAGAGCTCTGCCTCCTTCACGTCTACAGTGACTCTGATTTTATTCTGCAAAAAGCAAAAAAGCACACGGGGCACACGTCACTGGGGGGGCAGCTCCTGGGCGCCCACCCGCTCTGCGGGAGAGCCTTACCCGCCTGCCTGCCTGCCTGCCTGCCTGCCTGCCTCTCTTCCCCCTCCCTCGACACCCCACGGCACGGCTCTGGCCGGCCACCTGAGAGGGGCACACTCGGGACGGGCACACTCGGGACGGGCACACCTGGGGCGGGAGAAGGGGCGGAGGAGCAGTGTCGCAGCGTGGGATGCTCTGAGTTAGTCTAGAAGTGAAAAATGCACTTACAGTTGCCACAAACATTAAACTTTCCTTCCTCAACGACCGAGACCCTCCCTTCCACACTGGCGCCCCCTCCCCCCCGGGCGGGCCCCCGGCTGACGTAGCGGAAGACGAGGCGGAAGAGGTCGGGGGAGGTCACATTGAGAGTCACCACTACCTTGGGCTGGTGGGAGAGAGAAAGGGGAGAGAAGCAGAGCACACCTTCAATTACCTCCACCGCCGACAGCTACCAGCGCAAGCGCAGCCGCTCGGCTCACTGCTCCCAAAGCAACATGCCATAGCGCAAGGAGGAGACAAGCACACCGGCCCTACCGCACGGGCGCCTCGCGACGCCGTCCCTCCTGGGGCCAGCCACCAAGGAAGCAACCTGCCTGCGGGAAGGGGGTGGAAAGGCTCTGCCCGCATCGGGAGGATGCTCTGGCACAGCGGGGCGGTTCGGCTATCCCTGGGGCGCACGCCATGCCAGGGGAAAGGGTTTAAGGAGTTCTTGCTTTCGTTACCGGCATGTTGCTTTTGGGCTTTGTGCCGTAACCAGCCGGCAGACACCCAACGCTGAAGCACCTGCCCTTGCGTTTATGGGGCTCTGCCCAAACGCCTACAGAGGCTGCTGCAAATTGAGCCGGTGCCTCATCCTCGGGAAGCGGCAACGCGAAGGGCTACTGGGACTGACAGAGTGCGTCAGCCCTCCGCCTGCTTGGGCCATGTTCAGCAAGACCTCGGTTAAGCAGATGCTTAAGTCTGACCCATTTCAGAGATCTAAGCACGTGCTTAAACACCCTCCTGCCTACGGGGCAAAGCTGGGGTCTGCCCAGGGAGGCTCCTAATGAGGGCTCTGTGTTCCTCGAAGCTCCAGTTACACACCATCATCCCACAGGAGAGCAAACTGGAAGGATCTTGCAGAGAGCAAACTACAGGCGAGACCTGCCAGCAGAAAGCCATGTGCTAGCCTTTCTGTTAGGGCTTATTTCTATCTCAGATGCCAACACTGGATGCAAAACAAAAGCCACGAGCTCTGTCCTTAAGCTTTAAGGCTGTGGTTTTCTCAAGGGAGCCTATGGAAGTTTGTTGCTTAGCTCCTACGTACAAATTCAATGGGAAATGACTAAACACATTAGGCCCTGCTGCTATTTCACCTAAGCATGAAAAAAGTGAAGAAAAATGACGGTACGCACACCGGAATAAAGAATATCTTACATGGGACAAGACTATCAGGGAATGGCTGCCCTGCATCCTGTCCCCAAACACACACAGGCAGGCGAAACTTCACAGGGGCCATGCAGAAAAGGAATCCCCCAAGGAGAAAAAAGGCTCAACAGGTGAAATAGCTTCACTTACAGGGCTTAGACAACTCCAGGTTAGTGTAAACCATCGTTACAGCAAACCATCTAACAGCAAGAGCGGAGGCAGAACGGTAACAAGAGGTCCAAGCTGAACATGGCAGCTAAGGAGGAGCTAATTTATTTTTGGAAAAGGGAGGGAAGGTTACGCAGAGTTGCAGGAAAGAGCAGAGTCAGATGAAAGAGCCGCAAGAAAACCCAGAGACAGTGTTTATAGACATCCCTGTAAGTAATCACCAAGCTACCACCTTTGTCTAACCGGATTAGGATGTCAGAGGATTCCCAATTTAGGATCTTTCCCCTCGTCAGTCTATGCCATCCCCAGCACTACAGGAAATATCTGCGCAAACAGGCTATATATACACTGTGCTGTTTATGTTGGCCATCATGTGACTTGGGGGGTTTGAGAAGCACTTGGGGTGAAAGATGTGTGCCAAAAGCACGTCAGTCCTCCACCGGCCGCATCCTCCCCAGGGGGAGCTGGGCTGGGACGGAGACACCAGGCGTACCTGGATGGAGGACATCTGTGCGTATCCTCGCCAGCTGAAGCCCTCAAACTCCAGGGGGTTGTAGCCGAAACGCACAGCCCGGCCGGCCGGCGTGGTGCCTTCCTCCAGCTCAAACTTCAAGTGGTGAAGGTCAGGGAAATAATGGTCCCGCGCGGGTCTGGGGAAGAGAGGGAGCACCGTTACCCACCGGGCTATCTGGAGGGAGAGGCAAGAGGACACCTCCGCCAGGCAGGCGGCTGACGCGGCAGCAGCCCAGACGATGAGGTCCCCATCCTCGTGGTGGCCGAGGACACCATTCCCGAGAACAGGAGGCGCAGCACCCCGAGGTGCATCTCCCGCTGGCGGCTTACTGGGTGCAGGTGGGGCCGCGTGTGCTCTGCCGGCAGCGACAAGCTCCGCAGCTCCTGGTCACTAATCAAAGGCGGGGAGGCTGGGGCCGCTATTTTTATTCCATTGTATCCGTTTTCATATTGGCCCCAGCCCCACTTGGACCGGCTCCTCTTCCACCTCAGCGCCGAGCTATTTCCAGACGGCCGCAGGAGGAACGAGGTCTGCAAACCCTCAGCCGCCGCGCTGCCGCCAGCAGCAGCCTTGCTCCCTCTTCCCAGCCCGGCCAGGCCCGCCTGGGCTGGCTGAGAGAGGCCGGATCTTCTCCTTTCCCTCTTCCCATGGGCATTGTGGAGAGCAGCCAAGCCCACGTGTCCATGCCCACCTGCTCCCAACGGGAGGAAGGGGTAGAGTTGTACGGACACGGCCAATGGTTAAAACACAACAGTTTCTGGCACCCAAGGGGGCACCTTTCCTGGCCCTTCGTTCCCCAACCTGACAGACCTGTGCCCAACGATGGCAAAAGCATGACCTTAGGTCTCCAGACCCACAGCAAGACCCGGCTGCTGCTCTGGGCCTGGTACGATCAAAAGCGAGAGGTGGGACATCTCCCGCCCCTTCTCTCCGAGGCCAATAGTCAGTTGGAATATGCAGAGCTGCTGGTGGCCCCCCTCCTCCACCCAAGGCCTCACGAAGGGGGCTCACCTTGGCAGCCAAAGTAATTTGCGTTCTCCATATTGAAGTAGCCGTCTTTGCACGCTGAGCAGAACTGGCCGCAGACGTTCGGTTTGCAGAAACACTGCCCGTCGCCCTAGGAGAGAGCAGGCATGGAGGCTCACTCCCACCCGTTGCTCGTCACAGCTAAGCCGTTTCGCAGTTATTTGGGTCCTGCTCTGAGACACTGGAGAAGCATTTTGAGTTTTATGCTCGACACTGCTTCCTGCGCGTGGGTGGGCCAGATAAGGGCCAGATAAGTTAAATTATCCAACAATGCAGGCAAACAAAAATCCAGGCATCCTGGGCCAGACCCAGAAATATTTAGGTGCCTAATTTATGACAGGTCTTAATCCTATGTTCTCAAGCAAACCCAGACTGTGGTGCAACCTTTGAGAGCTCAACGTCAGGACAGGGCCCGTCCGGCAGCTGCTGGGAGAGACGGAGCTGAAACACTCCCAACGCAGCGCACGCTCGGAGGTGCCTGGAGAGGAGCAAACCCACCTGCTGGCACTCCGCGATTCCGCTGATGGTGCCCTTGGTATCACACTTGCAGCCTGGAGAGAGGGAGATGGACAAGAAAGCCAGAAGAACAATCAGCCCCCGAGAAGAAGCCTGATGGGGGACAGGACCCACCACACCGGAGGACACGGGGATAAGAGGAGCTGGGAAGTGGTCAAGTAGAGGGTAGCGCTGCACAAGAGCGCTCTTTTCATTTTGGACAGTTGGCGTTGAGGACACAACTACCACAGACGTTTGCCTTTTCTGCACATTTGGCCGTGAAAAATTAAGTGCGCAGTCTGCAGGGAGGGCTGAGAATGACACAACTCATTGCACGAGCCCTGTGTTTCATCCCAAGCAAAAAGCTCCAGGCTCCAGCCTCTCCCCTCTCCAAGTTGGGGTCACCCAGACCACTCCAGCTTTGACATGTCACTTCAAGGTCACGAAGGAAGGAAGGGTATCACCTCCCTCCAACACTGATGGTCCCCACTGGCTTGTGTTGGGGTCCTGCACCGCTACAGCACGGAGGGGACTTTTTGGGGCCACACAAATGCCATTTCCTTACTTGTGCAGCCGTAGGGGTTCTCTGGAGTCAGGTTCCAGTATAAGGGTTTGCATCTGTCGCAAGCTGGGCCTTCAACGTACGCCCGACACGCGCAGGAGCCCTGGGGAAAGGGACGGGGAGAAAAGGGCAGGTGAGAACCTGCAGCGCGTGGCTGAACGTGGCGTCTGCTCCTCTGCTGTGCGCAGCGGCCGCTTTCAGGCTGTGCTGCGGGAAGGACTCGGCCCAGAGTGAGTAAAAGGGGATCACACAAAAATGACCTGCAGGGGTCTTCACTTTAACTTCTTTACTTCTTTACTTTGAGGGTAGTGGAGCCCTGGCACAGGCTGCCCAGAGAGGTGGGGGAGTCTCCCCCTCTGGAGCCATCCCAAACCCGCCTGGACGCCGTCCTGTGCCCCTGCTGGAGGTGCCCCTGCTCTGGTGTGGGGGGGTTGGACTAGATGATCTCCAGAGGGCCCTTCCAACCCTGACCATTCTGTGGTTCTGTGATTCTGTGGGTTGGTGGGGTTATTTGGCACTCACCGGGGCCAGCAAGGGATCTGCAGTCACCAACCCTGCCGGGTTACAGGAGCCCACTAGAAAAGAGAGGCACAAGGAGGCATTTATAAGAAGACAGCTCACGCCCCAGCTGCTCCTAAGGGGGTTACTTCTTCCCTTGCAAAGCTCGTGGGGGATGATAAGCCCATTCCAACCCAACCTATTCTACGATTCGATGATTTACCAGCACCGCACGCTACATCCCAAGGCACCGGAGTCCCCCCCATCAAGGAGGAGAAGCGGGAGTACCTTCACAGTGCGGAAACCCATAGGCGCCCGGCACGCAGCTATCGCAGCGCAGTCCCGTCACTTTGGGGCGGCAGCCGCACTGCCCCGTCTCCTGGTCGCAGGTGCTGTGCAGAGAGCCCTCCCGGGAGCACTGGCAAGCTGCGAAAGAGGGGAGAGCGACCGCTGGAGCTGCAGCGCAGCGCAATGGGAACTCCTGCGTTCACGGCTTCCCACCAGCAACCTCCTTTTGTCCGCCTGACCTTCACCACCATCGAAGCAGCCCAAAACACGAGTTATAAATAACATACACGCTCATGCTTTGCTTTTGGTTAAAAACATCCCATCTTTTAAGAAAAACAATAGGATCTGCAATGTTTATCACACCTATTCACATACATTTATGCGTATTTCAGGACGGGGCAGGGGGAGAACTTTTGCTTAAGGAAAAGCGGAACGGGCGATCTCACCCCCAAAAGGTCAGCAACCAGTGACAGATCAGACCCTACAAAAACCCGTTTGCACCCAAACAGCCAAGAGCAGCGTTTGGCCATCGGGGTGCCTTGCGGACGCTGCGCGTGAGCCACAGGCTGACACCACGGCCATGGCACCGCCGGCAGCGGAGGGCAGGGGCAAGGCAACGGCTCGGCGGCTCCCCGCGCGCTCTGCCACCCGGGAACGCACGCAGGGGTCCCGCTGCCCTATCGCATGAAAGGTCAGCGAGCTGCCAGGGAGCTGCCCCTGCCCTCCTTGCCCAGCCAGCATTCCTCAAATCCCTGCCAAAGGGGATGTTTTAGGCTGACACCCCCAGACTGGCGAACAGCAAAACATTGTTCATAAAAGAACGGATTAAAAATAAAACAAAATCAGGCTCTCCTCGTCTTTCCTTGCTGCGACTCCTCTACAGCTCTGCAATCTGGACACTGTTTTATGAGACCAAAAAAAAAAAAATAAAAGATAGCGACTACTGAACTCCTGGGAGATGGTTTCATCTGTGCCTCCAGCCCCTTCAAAGGCATACTGCCGGCATCAGCATTTGGGAGCAGCGCTCTGCCAGCTGGCCGCGGCTCAGGCGTCCGCATTTAGTGTGGTGCAAGAGGGTGATGATGCTCTTTTGTTGCTTCAGGGAAATTGTATCACAGATTATTTTTTAATGAGCAGTAAATTCTTGCCGGGAGACATAAGAGTACATCTGGCTTCCAGTCGGACTGCGAACAGGGAGGGAAACGGGGACACTCAGCCCAGAGCTGGGGAGAGTTATTCAGAGCGTGTGGGGCCACCGGTACCTGCCAGAGGCACGGCTCAGCCCTGGCACGGCTCAGCCCTGCGCCACCAGCCATGCGGTGCCCAGGGAAGTGGACGCAAAGCTCTCGCCATGCCAGCAGACACCTTGAATTTGGGGCTGCCGTGAAACCCCAAATCCTCATCCTCGCTGTTCACTCACCCTGTCGTACAACCGTACTCCTGTTGGTTTCAGCACCGGTTGCTCCTCCTGTGCGTTGGCATGACCCAAGGTGGGGTAAGCCCTGAAGAGCCTGGACGTGTCACGTGAGCCACGTCTGAGCATCTCACGGCACCGGGGTAGAGCCTGAACACGTGGTCTGAGACTTTGCTCACTCCCCTCAGAGCCCCGCTCTCTCTGCCTGCGGGCGCTCCAGCCCGAGGACAGGCAGATGCAATTCAGCACGTGTTTTATTGTGCATCTACACACAACGCTTTCGGAGAGAGAATCCGAACCACAGCTGCTCCCCAAGTCATATTCTGCAGGTCTCTTTCTTAATAGATCGCTAGATTGAGAGGCCATACGTCCAAACTGGGTTTTACTCCCCAAGCAAGCAGGCAGACCCAAGCTCCTGCCGTCAGCGACAGGGACTGAACTGGGGGAGACAAACCGCACGGCTTTTAGGGAAGCATTTCTTGGAGATGTTTACTCATTACAGAGCACGCCTGCCAGATGAGATAGCCAGGTCAACTGCGCACAGGAAAACTGATTC